GGCTTCGCCTTGAAGTCAAATAAAACCCGAGGATCAAATCTGCTGGTCCATGAACATGTGGTGCAAACTGGCGTTCCGGTTGGTTTTCACCCAAAACATGGAGATCTTCAGTGGTCTGCTAATGCTCAAAACGCGGTTGCCGATCAAACAAAGCCACAATCGTATTCCAATACCGGCCCCTGGTCCCGCTGATACAGTATGGACACCAAAGGGAGGTGGGTTGCGCAGTTGTGGTGAAAACATGAAAAATTGCCAACCCAAAATGTGCCCGTATCTGACGAGACGCTGCTCCTCCTCTAATTCTGAGAGCAATTGCTCGGCGGCCAGCACTTTCTCCTTGTGCAGCAGAACCTGGCGAAACTCATAGGGGGCGCCTACCTGAGTCTCAATCACAACCTGGTATATTGAAGTGGCCTAACCAAAACCAAACAAAGAATCAAACGGACGGTTCTTGTCCGCGCTTATTCTTGGCAAGGGAACTATCTCTACCCTTCACTCGATCATGGTAAGCTCTTTTTACCGAAAGGTGCGTTCTGTGGGTCAAGTAAACAAAGCACCGGGGCGAGCGAGCGCTCACTTGCCCAAAGGACAAGAAATCCTGTTTTTGTCTGTTGTTCTGGGTGTCTGAGGAGAAGCTTGGAATTTAGGGAAGTGGACCACCTCGCAAATGGAACACATTACTTCGGAGGTCGCCGGCCCCAGGCCTTGTATTCACGCGGACGTCTGGGTTTAATCAGAAAACTTGTTCAGATTCCGTTTTGTATTTATCCAACCTCAAAATACCATTTAGTTTTAGAGGATACCCCATTTGAAACACTCCGATATCACCTGTTACTGTTGGCACAAGCAAACAGGAGACACCTGGCCGGCTTCCGCCGGCGCACGTGATATAGAAACCCAAGGGTTTTGAGATACTCCAAAAATCATATTCTGTTGAGACTCTGCTTCATAATCTTCTCATTTGCGGCAAGGCCGGTCTATGCCGGGGTTATCCAATGCATCTCGAAATCACATGATTCACAAGGGGATTGTCTAAATCAACTGGCCTATGTGATTTGCGTTTAGCCACGGTCGATACGTATCCCTTTGGCAACTTGTTAGCTGTTGCCCCCCCACTCCCTCACCCCCAAAAAAAACAAGTGACATGTGGTTCATGTTCAGGTGACCATCAGGGCAGACCTGAGGCCTAAGCCAGCATAGACTATAGACGAAGCCCGCCTCAATGCCTTGCAAAACTCGAGGTTCCGGCGTTTCAGGGCTCCAAGTAGACTTTGCCTGACTTACACCTCCACCTCAACATGACACTTGTCGCTGGAATGGTTCAACCAACAAGCTTTAAAGATCCAACGCACTACTAGTAGCAGCCAATAGGCAAAGCTTGGCCTTTCCGAAAGGCGATGCTTGAACCACAATGGAAGACGTACCAGGTTGGAGTGCCAGGACCAGTGTGAGGATGATAAATGCGGCTTCGCTCAACCTTCTTTTGGGCCCCAGATTGGTTTATGGTCAATCGTAAAACAAATAAAAACACAACTAGTTACCCATTGCACCAGAGGTCAGTCGCATTTGGCCTCTCCTCCCTCCGCCCCCCTCCCGCGCAGTGAGGCGATGCCTGGCGGTAGATTTGCAGGCCCAGCTGCCTCTGCAGCTCCTGGCTGTCGAACAATCCAACCAGTTACTCGGGCCAAAGTCTTCAAGGGTCGGGTCGAGTCCCAATTCTCTTCGCCCATCGGTCTCTGTAGAAACCATCTATTTTTAAAAAGGATCCGAGAAGAGAATGGGGCTTTCAAAAAGGATCCCGGAAGAGAAAGGGGAAGAGAAGGGCTGGAGAATCCTATGCTGGGGAAACGCGCCCTATTTGGCCCCCGGCTCAAACCCAAAAGAGCACTGCTTCTCCACTTCGTGAGTGAAATGATCAGAAGAAATCCAAGCGGTTTGTCTTCGACTAAAATGGTCTTCCCAAGAGGATTGAAGTCAAACACAAATGCGGAAGCAAGCTTCGATCACAGAGGATCAAAGAGCCTGGCCAACAAAACTGGCAGGGAGCGCCCGGCATGGCTGGGACGTGCTGATTCCCTCGCAAAGAATCACTCAGAGCACTTTGAAAGTAAGAATTGTTGGGGGAAGGTCAGTGTCCTTTGATTTGTTACGGCACAAAACCCTCCCTTTACGGGTTTGAACAGCAACTAACCCTAGGACTGCTCGAAGATCCTGGGGTGTGGCTTCCCGGGTTACAAAAGCCCAAAAAGAGTGCCTCAAACAAGGAAATGTGTAACGTTGGTGAAAGCACATGTGGCACGAGTGAAATAGCGTGCCTTGCTGAACATTTCGAACAGACCTATCCCGTTTGGCTATGAACTTCAATATAGGGAACCCCTCAAAAGTGGTTGGTGGACACACATCCCCACATAAATGATGTCTACCGGGTCCCCCTCCAAAAATACCCATTTGGGTTCTCAAATAGCATCGGTTCGTGGCTTTCCTTTGGCTTCCCAATGAAACCCAAAAAACAGGGTGCCAGCCCCACAACAGATACGACAAAATGGCGGGCATCGCGGGAATCGCTTCGCGACGGATGCCTGGTGGATCAAAGCCACTGGCTGGGAGGCCTGCGCCTTGAACCGGGTCACCCGTTCGCCTCAGTCGGAGAGGGGGTCCAGTCCGTGGGAAACCCGCCTGGGGCTGAAGTTGAATTGGCCCGTTGGTGTAAATCCATGGGGATGTGTCTCCACCAACAACCTTTGTGGCACTCCCTTACTTTTGAGACAAACCCATGGGGTTTTACATGGGTTGTTCACGTGGGGGGGGGGTCGGGATCCAGTCGAAAGCAGGATCCGTGGGACACAAATACAAGGGAACACACGACAACCCAGACTGGTCATGGTTCAGTTGTTGGGACTTGGAGAGGGGGATATTTCTGGAGCCAAGAAAGCGGTTTGTATGCCGAGGTTCCGAATTGAAGGTGCTGGACTCGGAACGGAAAAACACTCGAAGGGTGGTTTTCTGAGAAAAAAAATACTCCTCAGAAGGTAACTTTCATTGAACACCAAAAGGAAATCATCCCCCTGCAAAGGTTCCCAATTCTGACACACGCCCATCAGGAGCCAGTGTACAATGGTGTAGCTTTTCGGGGGTACAGTGGATGCTCGAAATATTGCAAGTGACCAGCCACATCAAACCACAAAGCCCCAAACCAATTGCGGTATAGTGGAAATTCAACCATTTCGGGCGAAGGCTCTTCCTGGATTGGGAGGGCCATTTTAAAACAGACACAAACAGTCTCCCGACAGCAACCACAGAACCCTTCCTGAACTCTGAGCCTGTTTGGGCAGTAGGGGCGAAGACGAAAATCAGCGGGATACCCGCGATCGACCTTTGCGGGTCAGAGGAAGCCGTCTTTTGACTGGTTGCTGCGCGCAAACCGTATACAGTGTGACACGCACAAACACATGTCCAAAAAGCGATAGCCTCATTGCAATAGCTAGCCAGTGGTGAGGTTGCTAGTCCAATCAGCAATTTTTTTGGACAAGCTGTGGGAAATATCCAGTTCCCATGCCCAATTCTGTGCTACTTCGTAGCAATGACAATATTGATTGTATCAACGGCAATGATTCCCCCAAAAAATGGATCGCAGCATGTGCAATGCTTCCAACCAAGAATAGCTTTGAGCGAGATCCATGGCTTATCCCAAGCCAGGATAGACACCAAGCGGCCGCTCAGCGATAGAATCGACACCGCCAGCGCCATCGCACCACCGCCGCCAGCTTTGGGCGGCGTCCGCTTCGGTTCGCTGCGTTCGCTTCGGCCGCCGCGGTTTGCCGGTGTTCTTCTCCGGCAGAACAACATGATTTTCATCACGTTGTATTGATATCCTCGCGATGTGTAGAGACGTGGAATGCAGTCTATTATATATATATATATATATAAACAAGTGAACCTGGTAAACATGAAGATCTACTGCGTGTACACACATTTGGCATCATTTGGCTACCTGTATTACATGGCACTGTTGTTGCTTGTGTGAATTAATTAAGTGGCAAATCAAATGCAACTGGTCTCAGGCATTTGCACAATGACCAATCCTGGCGAAGCAGCGAACTCCAAATGCAGCGGGTGCAGCCCATCTCAGCTCAGCACGTAAGCCCTTGACAACCTGACTTGTTTCCCCACGAGGACATGGACAAATTGAGCTGTCCTCCTTGGTTTGCGTGGGAACTGTTGGTTGCCCGGCCATTGTCCTTCCAAAACGACCGGGCTACCAATAGTATTGTCAGTTGCCAAAGGACCCCCCCAACGGTTGTGTGGTTTCAAAAAAACAACAAAAACAAAAAAGGGGTTCAAACCCCAACCCAATCCAATTCGCCAAGTAAAGCGAACATGAGAAAGACCCTATCCCAAAAAGTATCACTTCTCCCAACCCGGCCCTTGCAGTATCCTCTCTCCGCCAAACATGGAAGCTTGCAGGACCCTTCAAGAGGAAGATGGTCTTCCAAGGGCCTCCAGCCAGCTTTGCTCGGGGAAGCATTGATTTTTGAACACCAACACACACACAAGAAAAAAGGGGCGCCCGAACTGACTCGACTGTGGGCGTGTACGGCAAGCAAAATAGTTCAACCTCCAAAGGCGGAAGTGCGGTAAATAATGTTCAGTGATTTCCCTATACCACCATGTCAAATGTCGAATGTTAGTTTCGGTAGCATGGGCCACAGCTCAAGGACAGAACTACCAATTGGGATGGTCCCCCTTTTAGTGAGGAAATGAGGTATTTGAGAAGGTTGCTCTGCCTCTGACTAGTAGGTTCTGCAGACTAGTGCTGAAGTCAACATTACCCTTCTGCCAGGGCAGCGCGAGGTTAGCCGGCTGGTGCATGAAACATTCCATTCGCTCGTTTGCACGATGTCTGTTGGTTTAAAACAAAAGAAACACTGCTCATTTGCCGGTCCCCAAAAACCAGCCAGATAGAATCATGCGTTTGCCAGATCGGCGATGCCCGCCCGCGCCTTTGCAGGCTTCTCCTCGTCTGTGGCCTGCAGCTTGGAAGGCGTGCTGGTAGGGAGCCATTATGCTGGTTTACCACATGTTCAAACCACGGCTTAAACAAACTCGTTTTACCCCGCTAAGGGGGCCAGGGTTTCGCCGGTTCAACAAATTTAGCGCTCCCGGGCCAGCCGCAACTGAGATCCCCGCCATGATTCATCATCAAGCAGTGGCATTTGCCAACTTCTCCTCAAAAAACCCTAACAAGACAAGAAATTGGAAGTCAGGTTATCTGAGGCCAGAACTCGGTCAGTAATCCTTGGTGTCGAATGGTAATCAACTTTGCCCCATGCCATCCCACTGCACGACAGATAGTGAGGTGTGGGAGAAAAGCCAAAGCCGCAACTAACCCAACACTTTGCCAGGCAGTCATATCATCCCAACCCCCATTCCCGATGGTTTTCCCAAAAAGGGCCCTGCAGGCTTCAAAGGTCCGAGGGCTGTCGCGGAAACCACTCGAGAAAAACGGGAACTGAAGCACAAATGGGCTCCTTATGAAACGAGCTTCTTTGATTGGTAAGCCACTATCAGGGGAGCCTGTGGACAGCTTGACCCTGGGCCTTTGTGTGCATCTTGCAAACCCAAATCGGTTCACTGGCACAACTCTGCATTTCCAAACTGCAACATACTTCAACACATGGCAAAACACTTGAAGTCACTTGGCCGAAACACATGGCCAAAGCGTGACTCGGACCAAATCGGGTACGCTCTCCGTTGGGGCAAATAATTGTAACCTGATCGACAAGCACGTTGTGTGCGTTGAAACGGGACGACCTCATTTGAACGGAAATAAAACGAGGGGTGGCCTGACAATCGAAACAAGATCCCCAACTGTTGGGTGCTTTCTTGGGGAGGGGGGCACAAGTCCTAGTTCTCTACATTAGGCTTGCGACCGTGTCACACTTGGACATCCGTTCCCTGCATGCTCACTCAGGCCAACCGCGCCTCTTCCGGCTTGGCCCGCCTTCCAAAGTCGGAGAGCGGAGTGGTGAAAAGACATACCATGGCATACCCCGTTTGCCGAGATTCGGGCAACACTCCCGAAACCAAGCTTGTTAAATATTTCCTAAGCTTCGTTGCTGTGTCGGTCTTTGACCCCTTGCAAAAGTCACACTTGCTGCTTGATGCCGAGGGGAAGCAGCAATTTCCAAAACGCTCCGGAATTCAACCAAGAGTCGCGAGCTTCAGGTTACCCAATCCGGACGCTCCCCCTACCGACTCTGCAGCTCGGTTTGACTGACTGTGCACAGCTTAGCAGCGCGATCTTGGTGCGATCCGCTTTGCAACGGGACGTCTAGCGTGAGGGCGTAAATCATTCAAACAGTATTGTAGGGTACCAGCAAGCCAAACTAAGTCATGTCCATAGGAAAGCAATGCTAGTTAATACTAGTAATTAGTCAGCCCGCCATCTTAGACTCAGAGCTGCCAAAGTTCACCTCCACAAACTCAGAAGCAGAAGAACCAAGCCGAGGATTGCCCCTCAACTTCCATTTGGGAAAGTCCTACCTACCTGAAAGAAAGATGGGTGTGGCTCAACCTAGGGGCCCCAAATGGAACCGGGTCAATGGAAAACTATAGACTAAAACCTGTGGTCCCCTGGCTCTTAAAATTTGAGCCACACCCAGATAGCAACCCCATTTGAGCAAACGGTCCATCACCTTTTGGCTTAACGGAAAGCCACTCATCTGCAAAACCTTTGCATAACCGCACACCCGATGGACCAGCATGAAGCGAATGGCAACTCAACTTTCCCATCGTGCCTCAGGCGCTCCTGCAGGTGGCCGGGAGATTCTGTCAAGTTCGGAGCTCTGAGGGGCTCCGATTGCTGGGGATGTCTTGTTTTCTTTTTTTTGTTTGGGGGGGGCATACCTCCATGACCTTCAAAATCGTGAGCGGCGGAGTAAAAAATGCGCATGTCGCAGACAAAGAAGCCTTTTGTCCCCAACATCTAGGCAGTCGGAAGATCAATCCTGGGTTTGTGGCGGCTCTGGTTTTGGCACGCTGGAGGGCTCCAGGCATTGGGATACTCCTCTCGTTCTTTGCGTGGAAACCGGGAGCAACCAACATTCGGCAACCTCCAGATCGTTTCTACCACGGTCTGTTGGAAAGCAAGTGGGCATTTGTTTGAAGTGATGTCATGAAACCACCATCCCTGAGACTCCAAACATCGCCTTGTGGCTCTGATGGCTTCGAGGATACCTGTCTGCAAGGCCTAGTCTCCAAATTGCTTTGAGAAGAACAGGCGAAGACCCGAAAAAAAATGATGTTGTCCGTTTGGTGTCCCTTTAATCCAACCAAAACAAGGATGCCCTTAAAAACACCCGCATAAGGTCACGGAGAGGAACTCACGTCCGCAGCCACCACAGGATATGGTTCTCGGAAACCGCCAAACCGAAGTCTTTCTTACCTGGCCAACTAATAACGTCCGGAAGACGAAGGGTCCAGAAATCCACCAAACACCTGCTATGATAATTAAGTAAACGATTAATGAGCACATAGTTGATTCGTCGGGAGTGTCACAGAACCCTACCAAACCGCCATATTGATAAATATGGGATCAACACTAGACTTAGAGCACACACACAGAAAACTCAGCTAGTCAGTCAGCTGGCTGATTGAAATGAAAGTGTGGCTAGTCTTTAACCCCTAAAAGACAAGAATGCTCCTTGACCTATCAAAAGTCTAAGTGGAGTAAACCATTCTAAGCTGATTTTGTCCCGGGCCCCTGGGCGCCAACACATCAGGCACGATGCGACACGTCCGAGGCCCGACTTGGGCTCCCCGACAAAGTGCAAGCTCCGCAGCAAATCATTCGGCACCTGGCGCCAACAAGGTGCCCGTGTGTCCCAATGATTCAGGAAACCAAAGGCCCTTCACTCCACAACCCAGGACACTCATAACATTTTTCGCATTGGGTTTGCAGACGAGTTCTGAGAGGCATTCTATGCCATTCTAGCGGATAGGGAGACCTTGCAATGATTCAGCCCTACCACATGGATTTGTCTCCGAGTGGGAGCCCCTAAACAGTTCGCTTCCCGTTGGCAACCCGAAAACTACAAGGGTCAAAGCCTCGATTTGCTTGGAGACAAAGATGGTAATGCATGGTACACTTGGAAGGGGAGTCATTCAGAAGGTACTCGCCAGCGCCAAATAACATGCTCGAGAACAAGCGCCTTCGTGTGTTCGGTTCGGTCACAAACCCGACTTGGACCAGAGGGTTGGTTCAGATCGGGGTCATTCCCTCATCCCCTGCTGAGAACCAAACATCGGCATGTTGGGTTTCCCCAGTTCGGCTTTCCCGAGTAGTCGTCATGTTCCTCACACTATGTGTGGTTCCTCTTGAAAGTACAAGTCGTCCCTCAAGTAGATTCGAACAAACAAGTTCAAGCGGTTAACTTGCCAAACACTACGGCAATGCATAAATAAAGAGTCCAAGTACCCAAGGAGGTACTGTGACACCGTGCCAAGGAAATCTCTGGTTTGGGAAGTAAGGCTCCCCCAATTGTACTTGTCTTCCTCAAAGGGGTCATCCCCTCCCCGAACTGTCCATTTCTATTGAACCCTGTACGGATTTCAACCAGCCGGCACACAAAGCTGTTGGCGATCTCCGGGCATCGCCTCCATCACCCTGAAAGCTCACAGCTCGCTGCCTGCCGGCCGTGCGGTGTGATGGGTGACCTCCGGTTTATCAAGGCGAAACGAATGGAAAAGAGACTGGCTGGGCCCCAATCTGGGTTACGAAGTCATATTCCCTTCTGGCCCATATCGAAACTAAAACATGACAGATTTTCTGAGGAAACCCCAGCTCAACCAATACAAACCTAGTTCTCCCAGGATCATGAGGGTGTAACCTGACTAGTACTCCGCAACTCCTTTCTGATTCAGGCGTTGTGAGTGCTCTTTTCGTGTTCGAAGGTCTGCCTGCCGTGCCACCGCTTGTAGTTTGCTGCACATGCGCCGTCGTGGAGCTGTCGACGGCGCAGGGGCCCTTTTGCTCCGAGCGCCCACGCCAGGGTGGCAAAGGAACGACGCAGGCGTTGCCGGTGATTTTCGAGGCAAATGTAGGAGTCTTCATTGCATGCTATTCCTCTATTAATTTCCCTTTATTAATTGCATTTTAGAACATGAAAACATGGGAAATGAAAAGGATGGGAATGGCCGTTCTCTTCATACGATTTCTTGCCATTCCTTTTCCTTTCTGATTCCTCCTGTTCAGCATCCTCCTATAAGCATCCTCAGCAAGGACCTCTGGAGACACCCCCCTCCCCCTCCCGCCGGGTATTTGTGCGGGTTTTGTGCACAGCAAAATCCAACATCTAGTGCAAACAAATGGGCCTTTTGGAGAAGTTTGGGGTACATCAAAAAGAAATCCATGACCACACTTTTTTGGAGGTGAGGCGAATTCTCCCAATCCTGCGTTAGGGGCGGGCCTGGGGAAGGTTTCTGGAGTGTTCTAGGCAAGTTCCGGTGAAGTTTCGGGGGTGTTGGAAATTATCCTTGGGCTTGTTACAATACATTGGCCCACATTGACGTACACAAAAGAAAAAAAAAAGAAAAAAACTATTATCTGACTCTGTTTCTGATTTTCGTAACCCTGAAACATAGAATTGTTGTGGGGGAGACCCCAGATACTGTCGTTTAGGACGACTCTGGCATAAAACGCAAAACAGGTCTTCCCAAAATGACCTTCCTTGCAATCCGTTTACACTCTGGGGGTCCGATGGGCCGCAAAGGACCGGAGACCAGCACCAAAAATGCACCAAGCTGAAGCACGGCAATCGCTCACGGCCAGGCATGCCTTTGACACAATGCACAATGCTTCACGGTTGCTACTTCGTTGGGAAACGTTCATCTGCCAACAAGGTTACAAGGTGAGGTCGGTCGAACTCAAAAATACCCCCTACTGCGAATACCCAAGTGTTTAAGGTTTTGCTTGCAAAAACTTGTTTTCCATGGTACATACTTCCTTTTTTCAGATGATACCCTACAAAAGGCTGAGGCATTTGGAGGCCGTTTCAGTTTGGGCCACCTTTAGTCTGCTCAACTCATGGTTTGAGCCCTGCCACCAGAACTCAAGCACCCATTTAATATGTGTCAAATTCAAGCTGGGTGCTCCTTACTCCAAACTAAACCCCTGACTAAAACAGGAGGCATTTATCATGGAAAACCAGGTTGTTCAAAATATATCCTTAAACAAGTAGTATTTGGAGTAGAGGGAGGTTAACCAAACATATGCGGAACTTGAAAGCAGAAATGGGCGTGTTCCGTTGCTTTCCCCTTCTACCATTACTCAGAAAAGGGGCTTCCCAAATTTCGACAACCTCTCGGATAAGTGGACCCTTGGGGCAGGACATGAGCATTCCCAAGAGGCCCATAGCTTGACACATCACAACCAGCTCTGGTCTTTTGCAGCACCTTCGGCGATCAAGTCTAGCATGCTGAAAGGAATCTGTTGCCACTTTGTGTGACGAACCTAAGATCCGGTGCCTTTCTTACAATACTGGGTTGGTCTCAGACCGCCTAGCAAACTGTCTAACCTTTTGCTCACTAGCAAAGGTTGAAACGTTATGCGGGTCACTACAGGGCCCGCAACTCTCCCGAAAACTGGCACCGAGGACGCCCCACGGATAGGCCAAAACAACATGGCTGGCGCCGTTGGATTTGAACAGCGATTTGACAACCCCTTGCGGTCAAACCATGGCCTCCCTTGAATCATGTTCCCTCCCCCCAGCCCCGAGAGCCCCCCAGCCTTGCATGGAAGCTCAGCGCAAGAAATGGATTCAAATGTTTGCACGTCCTCAAGTGGAAGTTTCAACCAACTGTGTTCATGGCCTAGCTGTAAAAAACAAAACATCGAGACACTCCGCATGTCGTGTCAATTGTTTCTGGCAAACTATAGTGAGACATCCCCAGCTGGGGTAAGCTCGTTCTACCGGACTCAATATTCACCATCATCAACAGTCACCCAAGGTAGTTTCAAGGAAACAGCCCTGCTAGCTGACTTTGATAGCCCAAGAAACGTCAAACCGCTGACCCCAGCTATAGTTTGTGCCGATTCGTCCGGAGACGCTGCTTCCTCTGAAGTGTGGAGCATCTTTGATGCATGTTGACGCGAGATGCTCGTCAGTTTGCAAGGATGGTTTCCTACAATTGTGCAGCCCATAAACTATAAGCCGAGTGATGGTACAACGTAAGCCTTCAGCGTCTCCAAGCCACTCCGCTCCGGAACCCTCTACAACCCATGGGAACCCCACCAGGAACGTCAAGCAACTGCTTCATCAAATCTCCCTTAACAACCCCAGACTTTCCGAAATGGAACCCTCTGCCCCATCTAATGGAACCCGGAACCTTCCCCCAGCAACCTGGAACTCTGGAAGCCCCCAGCAACCGCTCCGTGGAACACTGGAAGCCTGCAGAACCCTACCTCAGAGCTGCTCGGGACAGTTGGGGGAAAAGCTAGAGGTTCATAAGAGTGCTTCCTGCACGGGTGCGTCTTCCAAATGTTTGGTTTCTTTTTTGGTTCTCTTTCAAACTCTCTACGTACAGGAGCATTCTACCTTGAAATAGGGCTATCAAGGTTACCTGCAATTCTCCTTGGCACATCACCTGTCCAGCACCAAAAGGACATGTACGTGCACATGGCCGGGAATCCTGGCTGATACACAAGGGAAACTCTGAGTGGAAACTGAGGCTCTCATAGCGCTATGTTCCGTGGCTGAAGGTTTGGGGATGGATCCGGCTTCAATCTCGAACCTCTAAATTTCCAGAGGGGAAGCCGCCAAGTGGTTGCTTGACGAGCTGAGAGGTTCCGGTTGTCATCAGCTTTTGTTATGCTCCCTTCCCACAAAGTTTAACTTTCTGCCCAATAGCATTCAAGTTTCAGGAACGGCTAAACGAGCAACCCGCTCCGCTCCCACCGCGCAAACCCTTTGCATGCCGCAACCGAGGGCTTCACTTTGGACGCGCCAGCTCCAAAGATACACGCTGCAAGGAGCCAACCGCCCCTGTGGGTTTGTCTCATGGCTTGGCCAACATGTGGGGTGCACTGTCTAAAGGAAATCGAAAGGCAGACCACTATTTTGGGAGGTTCCGCTATTTTGACACATACCCACATTTAGCTTCCTAGAATACGCAACATACTTGTGGAGACCTCAGTCACGGTGGGTTCCTTTCTGTTTCCCTTCGAAGTGGTGGCTCGATCCAACATACAGGTTGTTTACCACGGAATTGGTTCCAGCAGCGGGCATGGGAAAAACAGGGTTTCTCCCCCGGCTGCAATTTCCGGGCCCCCAGTGTCCCGAACCCCAGACTTACTCCAGGCTACTGATGTATTTTGCCCAAACCTCTCCGCAGAAGCAGATACTGGTGCCACGTTGTCACATGTTTTGTCACCTCATCATTGCACCATGTGAGTTGGAAAACCCTTTTGGACAGGCCAGGAACCTGCAATATGTCATGCTTCGTAAAAGAGAAACGCAAGGAGTCTAAGGAGCCCTGCCCTATGGACTCCCGCAATGGCAGCTGGGTTCTTTTTGGGGAATGTTCAGGAGAGCAATTAAGGATCAAGGAGAACAATTTGGCGCTTCAGCCGGCCAAACATCCAGGTAAAGCGCTCGGTGCAACGCGTCTCCCGGAGCTTTGGAAAAGCTTAAATGCTGAAGAAGTGATGCTCTCGGAGTGGGACTTTTTTGCAGCTTCATGACACCTGAAAACGTTCATGCCTAACTTAGAGGAATCTGCAACTTTACAACCCGGAGAAAAAAAGAGAGGATCGGTACAAAAAGGACCATCATCATGGTAAGCTCGCTTTACCCCCAGGCGAGCCTTTTGGGGGACTCGCTTTTTTAGGTTGCTTCTACTTAACATACTTCTCGAATTCTACGCAATTTCTAGCTGCATTTACGAAGAAAATACTGAAGAATCCCTATCTAGGTTGTCGAAAGCCTGGGCACACCGAACATAGCTAGCATGGGAGGGAAACTGGAAGCTCAACCAATCAGCTTGCTTAGTGAGGTCTCACTTCTTGAGTGGAGTGGCAAAAAAAGGACACGTCGAAACTTTTAGTGCGCCACTAAAATGGTGATTCCATTAAGTATAGCTCAGAAAGTGAGAGGTCAACTACCCAAACACTGAAACTTATGTGCCCCACTCCTATCTAGCAAGCACCCGCCGGAAACTCGCAGCAGGTGCACGTCCTGAGCCCAATTCCAATCAGACCCTGCGTTCATCTAGAAAAATATGTAAAACCAGAATGGCCGAACCCTGGTCCCGACTCAAGTTTAACCACTCCCCCCCTGGGCTAAGTTGGTTAAGAGACGGTTGGAATACAACCACGCCCGGGGTTAAGTTTGTTGAGAGCTAATCGGAATCCAACCACCCTCTGTTCACTTTCCTAAAGGCTGGACGAAGAACAAACACCTGAGTTTGTTTGAACCAAGGGAAAACGCCGGCGGCCCGTCGCGGACCAGTTTCGGGCCACGGAAGAAATGTATCTGACACAGGATTCCCTATATTTCCCATCCAAAAATATCACCCCAGCCGGAAACTCACCATATTTCAGGGAAATGTGGGGAACCGTGTCACGCGGCTCAGCCGAAACTTGTGGGCAGCCTTTGGCACATGCA